ACGTCAACGTCATTTTCTTGTTTCCACGCAGTACAAAGTCTACTCCGATGTTTCGGATCATTGTCCTCTTGCAGTAGCCAATTTTCATTTTTCCTCGTAAACCACCTTTGGGCAGATGGTAATAAAGCTCTCTCATATATTTGGACCATTTTAGCAGCATCCAAATTTTGTGTAAAGATGTGTAAAGTGCCAAATCCCTGTTTTGAGAAACAGCCCCAGACGTGCACCTTTACCGGATGTTTAACGGTCCGCTCGATGAGTCTATTGGCCTGGGTAGACCAGACACGTCTGATAGAAGACTTTGCCCAAAACGAAGCTTCATCTGAAAAAATTACGTTGCCCCAATAGCGGTCCAAATTTTCTTTTGCCCAAGCAAGTCTTTTTTCGACGTGTTTTTCAGACAGCAACGGTTTCGTTATCGTGCTTCGAAATTTCACTTTATGAGCCAGTAAACGTCTTCTTATAGTATGACATGATATATTTAGACCCTTTTTAAGTAAAACCGCTTGCCCGCCACGCAATGATAAACAAGGATTCTTCTCAAACACCCGTAAAATCATTTTGTCCTCCTTTTTCGTCGTTTTCTGCACAGAGCCACGATCCGGCAAGTCATCAACGTTTTTGACCTCGGAATAACGTTTCACCCACTTACTCACAAACGCCTTAGACTTCTTCATATACTTAGCAGCCGCTCCGCGCGACATTTTTGGTCCTTTCGGATGCGAACATAGAAACACAGCTTCGTAACGTGATGCGTACGCGGCACTCATGTTGAAATACGCCCTTTTGTGACGAAAGTCAAACGATAACTAAGGCTTTCTAGACAAAGCATCTTGGGAGAAGAGCCCCGCTATTGGCTCGCGTTCATATCCCCCCTCTAACGGTTTCGAGGAAAAAGTTTTGCCGTACACGCTCTTATCAAACATATTGTATATAACAAGTATTATATAATATAATAATCAATCACATATATTTTGTTTTTATTTCGTCTTTAGGAACTTTAGTAACCATGTAAAAATAGAATAAAAAACTTATTAAAAATAATCTCGTAATTTAGTTACGTTAAGTACTAAAAATTCGTGTAAGAAATAAAATTCCTAATTGACAACTTGGAAATTTATAAATATTAGTGCAATGTAAAGCACCTGTTACTTAATATCAGCTGCAGGGTTTGCTGCTCTTTCTCCGCAATTCTCTTTCTGAGATGACGAACTTTCGCAAACCCGTTAAAAAGAAAAACAAGAAATATCGATAAACTTCGGCGCGAAACGTTGCAATTGACTACGATCTTGTTCGCGCTTTTAACAACCGAGGAAATGATGTGTTCCATAATTCAAGGGAGTCGTACGACCGACCCTTTTGCTACCGAATGGTCATTTTTACATTCAACAGGTGGTTCAGTTTACGTGAAATGTTGATGAAAACTTTTCGCAAGTACCCGTATGTGTTACGCTAAGGATTTCAGGCAAAAATCGCGCAGCAGCATTTTTAAATGCACAAAAGATCGCCTCTATGCAGCTATGTTATACTTGTGGAATACTTTTAAATTAATATAAAATAAGACGCAATAATAACTCTCATCCTGCGATAACTTGTGCGTATCGCCGATTTTTTATTTGTACCTACGTTTCAAAACCTCTTCGGTAAGCGAAAGAGATATTTATGTCCGTGACTAAAACAGTGTTCTCCTGCATTTTTGGAGAAGACTAACGAGTGAAAAGTTACCGTCGAGCAAGAATGGATGAAAAAAGTAGCTCTCTTAAGTTATATGAAAGATGTATTGCACTATTTCGTCCACGATCGATTTTATCGTTGCTCATTCCGTGAGCATCCCAACTCGTCGTTTTTACGAATTCACGAAGCGAGATAGCGTCTGTGGCTATTGTAATATCGATATCCTGCAAGGAGAGATGCTGTATCGAAATATTGATCTTTTCTATGTCAAAATATATCTTTACGATAAACTTGGTTAAAGTGACTAGTGAATTAGATACAGACGATCTTACTGGCCGAACAGAACTGAAGGAGATATCATTCTTTTCTCTCTGTATTCATCTCTCTTTTTCTCTTTCCCTGTGCGCTGTAAAAGGATTTCAACGAATCCGGAGTCGTGAGAGTTTTGTGAAATGTATATGAATAAAACTGCATGATAAACCTCACGGTAAAACCGAGTGCAATTTTAAGAATATAAATTAAAATTCGTTTTATGTAAGACTCCACCGACGTGCACCGCCGTTTCCCGAAAACGATCGAACAACAGACAATCATGGTTTCATCAACGTTGTGATTAATTTTAACTTCAGTTTAATTAGTTCTTCGACTGCTCTAATTACTATAGTTCCTTCCAGAACTAGAGAAAAAGAAGAATCGGTTGAAATCAGAGTTAAAGTTAACGGCGTTGACGAAGTCGTGCATTAGAGTGGAGTTAAAGTGATACAGCAAAAAAAAGCGCGAAGTTATTATCATCATATGCTAATTCATATTGTAATTTAACACTGTACCACAGATTGACGATGCAGTACGCATCGAGAGAAACGTTTGCGTAATCATCTGATTAGGTGCGGCGCTTCCAATTTGCTTTATCTTTTAAGAGCAATTTTATGTAAGAACAGTTGATGCCCCTGACATAGACGCGATCACCTTTCGAAAATTTTTATATTTCATTCGATATCGCATCTCTTCTGTTCTTGCGAGTTTCCCTCTTCCCCTTCATCTCACATTTTCATTCTTACAGTCTTGCAGTCTTTTTACTCCTCAGCGTACACAGTCGTCCATTCGCTTCTTTCGTTCTCAGACGTTATGGCGAGAACAGTCTGTCACAGGTCCACGTTCCGTAATTCACAAAGTTCACCTTTTTTTATTCTCTTGGCGTGCGTTGGGAGAGAAAGGACCAGAAAAATTATTCTAAGAATAGCATGAACGCTCGAACGGAAAGAAGCGTCGCGATAAAATATTCAGAGAAATGCCGCGAAAGAAAAAGACGAGCGCGAGATCCAAAGACGTCGATATGTCAATTACATCGTTCTCATTCCCGCATGCGATCGAGATTTTTGCATTCCACCTTCCTTCCCCTTCTCCTTTTCTTCTCCCGTTCCCGACCCCAGCCTCCGTCGTGACGCATTTAAGCCGCCGAGTAAATCGAATTACTTTGCGCTTACTGAGAGATATCCGTTGAAATTGGACGTTACCGGAGATTCGACGTCCGATCGTCATTTATGACGTACAAAAGAGCGAAGCTCTCTCCTCGACAACGACAACAAATCATTAACTAGTTTTGCAATTTAAAAGAGAATCTTATCGACTAATTGGAAGCACTCTTCCTTTCCTTTCTCTATTCTTTCGTCGTACTTTTTATCGTTCCACATGTTTTCATATTTCAGCAAAGTTGCTGTTTAAAGTAGAACTTCTTTTACTGTAAATTAAGTTATTTTTCTTTTGTAACTTTATATTCTTCACGGGAACAAAAAGAATACGAGAAATTGCTGCCATTATTGAGCGCAACGATTGACTTGATTGATTCGAATTTTGCGTGAAACAAATGAAACCAATCACATTTGCACGGCGATTAGAGCTATGCAACAGCTTCCTTTGTATATGTGTTTGTCTTTCCTCTTGTTCTCTTTCATAGCCCATGAACGCGCAAAAATGTGCACCTAGCCGTGTGCAGCAGATTATTCTTTTTTTTCTTTACACTGCCGGGTAGCATGATGGTACCGCTGCAGTCTTCTGTTTACGTTGTACACGACCGGCTGCAAATTGCGAATTGATAGGTTACTATGGCCCGTATTTATTTCAGTTGTATAGCGGTAGTTTTGAGCGTGAGAATATAACACAGACTTATATATGTATATAGATTGAGCGTTCGACAAGAACCTGCGAAAGCTTGACTAGAAAAGAATGTCTTGTTAGTGCTACATGTCTATACTATATTATACTAAATTCAAACGTCAAAAGAAATGAGGCCGGCAGGATTCCGTTTTCCAGTACGACAACCTTACAACAAAATGATAGTGGTGTGTATGAATAGTACATATATGTAGTGTGTTAGTTTGTTCTTTGTAGCTGCACTGCTGAACTAGTACAATAAATAGGAGTGAGATAAGTTTATTTTTTATCACTCTAACTTAGAACTTGGAATTAGTTGTCCATTTCGACCGATTCTCAGGAGCTACGTCTTCTATCTTCCCTTTGCCGCGAGCGGGCCATGAAAATGATAGTCGAGCCTCCAAGCTTGAAGCCGCGACTGGCCGCGACCGTCATTTTCGTGGCCCGCTCGCGGCAAGGGGAAGATAGAAAGCGTAGCTCCCGAGAATCGGCCAAAATGGGCAACTAATTCCGAGCTCTGCTTTAACTTATTACCAATGTGCATTAATTCAGTAGTGCAACTACAAAGAGCAGACCACGTATTCGGTGTAGTGATAACTAAAATTTATAATATGAAGTTTTAATTATCTTTCTGAAAATATGTTAAGCAGATGTTGCATCAATGTGGCCAGAAATCTCGCTAAGTAGCACCGGTAGCATTGAGAGGAGATGATGCACATAAACGTGCCCGTGTACATGTACGCTCTGAACTTAGTTCTCTACTAGACGAGATTTCTGATCACACTATGTGGCATTTTGAAATGCAAAAATACAAAAGATAGATTTCATTTATTTAGGTAAATTGAATATATTTATATTATATTAAAAATTGTAAATATTGGAAGTGAAAAATTTGATTTCACATTGAAATTAAAAAAGAAGTATTTTAGTACGTCACATACAATACAATAGCTCAATAAAATAGCTACAATAAAAAAAAGTGGAAGCCATTTGTAAAGTGGTTTTATAGTTGAAATCGAAAATCTTGTCGACCTCAGTCTTTCCATATGCTAAAGTCCCAAATTAGCAAGTACTAGTATAGTACAGATATTTGTGATTAGGCATTTGATCTTTGTCTAACTTGATTCCTATTGGATATTTCTAGTTTTCTAATAAGAATCAAGCTAGACAAAGATCAAATGGCCATGGACAAGAATAGAAGGAGAATAGAACTGTCTTTTAAAATTTTTTCTTAATCTCTCATAAGAAGACGCAGTTTTGTGTATACCATAGATTTATCGACCACGCATTCTCATTAGATTGATGGAGTTGGCATTAATTAGTAAGAGGAGGCAATAAAGAATAAAGTGTTGTCCTGGTTTAATTGTTAACGAGTATGGACAATAAAGGAGGAAATATAATTGCATCGTTTTCTCTTTCTTTCACTTTATTTCACTTTCTTTTTTGTTTTTCCTGCATTGCTTCCTCCTACAGCATTGTGCGACAGACGAAGCACCTTACTCCGTATATCTCTATTATTCATTTTTACCTTCAGTCTCCTCATAAGAATACGCAGTCTATCTCTATAAATCTATAATACATATAAGTCTATGGAATATAATCACGGAATCCCGTATAAAGATTATCCAAAATAAACTACTATCGTTATATTATCATTAACAAATTCGGATTCATTAAGACTACATGATAGATGCGCGAAAATTAAAAGATTTTTTCCAGAAATAATAGAATATGCAAAATCATAATGTGTGTATGTGTGTGTGTGTGTGTGCAAAATCAGAATATGCAAAATCAGTGTTTAAAGAAAATCGACGAGCTGTACATTTGCAAGCAACCTACCTGATCGTCATCAACCGTCGCGCTTGCAAATCGACATTCCGGTCTCGGTATTATGACGACTTGTCGACGTCGTTGCTGCTCTCTTCGTTGTTCTCGCGCTGGCACGCCGATTCTAGGTGCTTGTTTAGATAGGACTTGAGCGCGAATGACTTGTGACACTTGGAACATTCGTAAATCTTGTCGGACGAGTGTGTCTGCATATGCGCTCGCAAATTCGAGCGGTCGGCGAACGCCTTGCCGCAATGGGCGCAACCGTACGGTTTCTCGCCGGTGTGACTACGAAGGTGACCCTGAAGTAGCCAGGGACGCGAAAACATCTTGCCGCAAACTCCGCAACTGTGCGTCAGTTTGTGCGTTAGCACGTGCATCGCTAGTGCGGGCATACTGACGTACGCCTTACCGCAATGGATGCACTTTTTGGCAGATTGCGAATCGATGCTGCGATGCGTCTGCTTGTGCCGCGATAGATTCGATGAAGTCGCGTATTGCTTACCTGAAGGAAGAATTGCGTAGATTAACGTGAGCAGATATATCTCTTTATAGTACAGTAACCTTTGGCTTTAAGGATGTTACGTAATTTTATCTATACTTTCTCAATTAAAGGACTTTACATCTTTATTCTTTGTTATTAGTTCAAGGTGAATATGGACTGTTAAAGGAAATGTTCAGGAGTGTTCAAGAATGCTTTGTCAAAGATTTTCTCCGAACTGATTTGAAAAATTAAAAAAAGAATAGTATTTATCCTCTCTCACCCTAAATCGTTCCTCTGGAATACAAAATATTTTCGATTCTCGTTTAGGTGAATTCTTTTTAGGGGAGTGCAACCTTATTTTCGAAATTTTCTTATAGTAAGAGTATGTTTTGACTTCAGATTGGGACAAAAATAAAAAAATAAAACTATTTTAATCTTGGAGAAATTGAAAAATTATTCAATAATAGAAGTCATTTTATAATAATTTAGAGTAGTTAAAAAATAATTAGAAGCCATATTTTGAAGATAGAATATTTGAATTCTTCACATTTTCATTTTTCAACAATTTCCATCATATAGAAGAAGAGAGATATAGATATAGAGAAGATGTTGATGTAATGTGACAAATGCTATTGAGGGCACATAACATGTTTGTCCTCTTTAGCACTGTTTGCAACGTGTTGCGAAAATATCATTATCCTAGCATGTCTCTGAATTGCTCCGTGTGCGAGATTTTGTTTACGAGAAGCAACAAATTACTAGTTATATTGTGAGAAACACACTGTCATTGTTAATAAAATCTTGACATACTGATATGATGCTCCATAGAAGCATATTTATTTCTAAAATTATATCAGAACTATAATATATTTTGCTCACCGCATTCACAGCATATGTAACGACTAATTTTGGAACTTTCAGCCGCCTCATCTCGGGCTTCAACTTGCTTCAGCAGCTCGGGCGTCCTCCTGCTTCTGTTTTTCGATCTGCCGTCTGAGACGAGCAACGTGTCATATGTATAAGTGGCTGGCTTTACTGGCTCCGGCTGTTCCGTGATAGTCTGCACTTCCTTATCCTTCTGCGTCGGCTGTGAATTCGGGTTACTGTTCTCGATGTCACTGCTACATTCGGAATTTGGTGGCGTTAGCGGCGGTGCAGTTTCAATCTGCTCTTGCTGCTGTTGTAATTGTAATGGCTGCTGCTGCTCTTGTTGCTGCGGTGATAGCGGTAATGGCTGCTGCTGCTCTTGTTGCTGCGGTGATAGCGGTAATGGCTGATGCTGCGGTTGCTGAGTAACAATGGACGTGCACGGTATGGCGGAGGTACTGTACGTCAGCAGAATCTCCTGTACCGGCGATAAAGGTATGAAGACGCTGCCCGTAGGTTGCACAATGGTAGCATTGGCGTCATAAATAATGCTAGTAGCAGTCGCAATGGGCTGTTGCTGTTGCTGATGTTGATGACTGTAGATAGTCGAGGTAGTTAGGTCGATCGTATTCACCTGATAAATCGGCTGCTCAGTTGGTTGGTAGACCGTCATCTCCTGAACGTCACTCGCTGGTGCCTCAACCACACTCTGAGGACCGATGGCAACACTCGGCGGCGGCAGCGGTGGAAGCGATCGGGAAAGCTCCAGAAGATCATGCGCCGCCTCCGTCTCTGCAGCGGAACGGTCTTTGAACACTGGTGACGCCTGATCAGATATCACGACGCAGGACGATGGAACCAATTGTATCCTAGAGTCCAGCTGCGAAACCGTAGAACGCTCCGAGTCCAAAGTATTCTGTATTCTAAAATTATCCTCTGGCTGATACGGTGTCGACGTACTAGATAGCGGAGACAGCTCTCCAGGTGGTTGGTGGAACGTCGCGATGGTCGGGATCGGTATAAACTTCTCGGACTCTTTGGAGGCCGTTTGCACATTCGACGGAGGTAAGGAAGCCATCGTTGCCGTTGCCGTCGCCATCGTCACTGTCGTTGTCGTCGTCGTCGTCGTCGTCGTCATCATTGTCAGCGTTTCTTCATTGGAAGAGACCATCGACACTGTTGGAGAGAGAGTCGTCAAGGACGTCGCGGACGTAGTGCACACGGTTTCCATTTGCGTGATAGTTGCCGAATAATTTATTGTGGCAGGTGTTATCGTGGCGTCGCCTGCTGTTGTTACTGTTATCATCGTCATCGCATTGCTTACGTCTACTTCGTTCGGTTGTTGTTCTTTCGAGGGTTCCTCGTTGAGCGCAGTACAAGTTATAATGGTGGCTGTGTTCTCCGGTTGCGTGTTGAGACATTCTAGAAGATTGTAGAAAAAAAACAAGATTAAGTTTTATATAAGATACGATTGCATGATTAAATTTCCATGGAATTAATTAGTCTCTTCAGAATGACTTTTATCGATGCTAATTTTATCGATAGACATGTTCAAGTCGAAATTTTACTTCCTTATTCAACATTAAAAATATCTTGATCGTGAAGGATCTATAAAAAAATTTTAAGATATAATACTATACAGACTATTAGTCTATGCTAACACAATTAATGGTTACTTATTCATATTTTCTCCATATTGAGATCTAAACATTTTTCAAGAATTAATTTTAATATTCAATTATCTTAATATTTTATTTGTATTTTATCTTTATTTTTAATTTCAATAATTATTCAATATTTAATGCAATAATTATGTAATTTATTTAATTCTTAGATAATATATGCAGAATTACCAAATATTAAGTGATCAAGAAAAATATAACAAATGAAAAAATATTAAGAAATTATAAAGAAAAAATGTAACTTTTGGTTTTTATTTTCTTATTTTTTAATTTCTTGTTTTTTACATTTTTACGTGAGATATTTTAATAAGATTTGAATATCTAAAAAGTTTGAATAGAAAAATATTAAACTGAATATACAGTAGCAGTTATATAAACGCAAATAAGATATTATAAGTAAAGCCGTTTTCCTGATTACGCCAAGTCTTTTGTTGGTTGGGTAGTTAAAGCTTTAAGTAATTAAAAAATATAATAGTTTCTTTATTAGACCATGCTTTGCCGATAAAAGATACAAATATCATATCTTACTCTTCAGTTGTTGTATTCAATATCAAACGATACGATAGTTGTCGCGAAACCAAGTGCAAGCGCAAGCAACAGGCTCGCGGCCGATATACTTTAGTTGAACACAGGCAAGATTCCCTGTTCGTCTATAACGACTGAATAGATAAGATTCTGGATGGACTTAATCGAGTCCTTGGGTTTACATTACTTAATAAAACTATCTTTACTTTTACTCTAGGTGTTATAGAAGTTGAGTTATTTTAGCTCAGAATTAAAAATCGTAAATTTATGTGTGAGAAACGTCGTATTCATCGTTTCCTCATTATGAAAACCTCAGTTGACTGTGTTCCTTCGCTAGAGGCGCTACGGTTGAGATCAGCTTGACAAGAGAAAGGGAAGGAAGGGGAGAGAGAGAGAGGAAGAGGAAGGGGAGGGGGAAAGAAGGGAAGAGAGAAGGAAGTGAGGGAGGGAGGGAGGAGAGAGAGAGACTATACCGTTTTCCTATAATTTTATTAACTACAAAAAGTAAAATATTACAATAATTAAAATATTAAAGATACAATCAAATAAATATACGAAAATGTTTGTCTATTTCCATTTGTTTCCTTCACTATCGTTATATCATAATAGCTAAAATATTATATAATAAAATATCATATAATTGAATGTACGTATATAAAATAATAAAAACATTTAAAGATAAATATCTTCCTATATGTCTAATATTTAATTTATATTCTGTCTTATAAGTCTGTTTTAACATTAAAAAAAATAACGAAAGTAACTTATTTATTATTATTTTTAAGTAACGGTAACGCGTTATTTTTTAGAATCGGTAACGAGTAACGATAACGAATTATTTTTTATTGCAAGTAACGGTAATGGTAACGCGTTACTTTTAAAAAGTATGGGAGTACAAATAAGTCTCCGCCGTTTTTTATCAAAAATTGGGCATTTATTGTGAAAGAACGGTACCTTATGTTTTATTCAAAGTATTGTCCATCGCCACCCTTATAGAAATATCATACTAAGAATCATTGATAATTACTTATTTTCAGTATTAAAAATACTGGATAATAAGTAATTATCAATGATTCTTAGTATGATATTTCTATAAGGGTAGCCACTACTGTTTCCCATCTTTCTGGCAGCATACGGATACCGCGTCGGAAGAACGCTTTATCTTTTGAGGCTATCCACGAATCGACTCAATTTTTGGTATCTTCATATGATGTAAAGTGCTGTTCAGACAGGCCGTGCGTCATCGATCGAAACAAGTGATAGTCAGAGGGAGCAATGTCTGGTGAATACGGCGGGTGGAGTAAAACTTCCCAATTGAGTGTTTCCAAGTAGGTTTTGACCGGCGCCGCTACATGTGGACGAGCATTATCATGCAGGAAAATAATTTTGTCGTGTCTGGAGTAGTAGTGGGCGCGCTTTTCTTTGAGTGCTCGGCTCAATTTCATCAAATGTGTTCGGTAGAGAGTCCTAGTAATGGTTTCGTTCGGTTTGAGCAACTCATAATACACGACACCAAATTGATCCCACTAAATACACAACATGAGTTTTTTTCCGTGAATATTCGGCTTGGCTGTCGATGTTGAAGCATGGACACGTGGTCCCCATGATTTCCTCTTCTTTGGGTTATCGTAGTGTATCCATTTTTCATCACCAATGACTATACGATGCAAAAAACCCTTTCGTTTATGCCTGGCAAGCAGCATTTCACATGCAAAATCGGCGTTCAACGTTTTTCGGCTTTAGTTTATATGGAACCCAATTTTCTTGCTTTTAAATCAATCCCAACGATTTTAAACGATGTGAAATTGCTTGTTGAGTCACTCCTAATGTAAGTGCAAGTTCTTCTTGCGTTTGGCACGAATCTTCCTCCAATAATGCTTCCAATTCCGCGTCTTCATACACTTTTGGCCTTCCGCTACGTTCTTTGTCTTCGACGTCAAACTCACCGTTCTTAAACTTTTGAAACCACTCACGACAACTTCTCTCACTTAAAGCAGCCTCACGATATGCTTTTACAAGCAATCGATGCGCCTCAGCAGCAGATTTCTTCAAATTAAATGAGTAAATCAAAAGTTCCCACAAATGACGCTTATTTGGTTCAAAACTCGACATTTTCGCACGAAAAAAATTATGTGATGCTGATACAAAATCGCTAATATTTCAAAGTTATGGTGTTGCCAGATGTATAACTTTGCGATATGACGTTTTACATCTGACAATTTCAACCATAACTTACTGGTGGAGCCATCTTTTGTCAAACGACAGAGACTGTCGTTATTTGTACTCCAATAACTTCCCCACTCTGGACATACATACACATACACACATACATATACACTCAGCCACATACACATAACACAAAAGAGATGTAAATCCGATCGTGCAATCTCCACGCGGTACACTTTAAGTAGTGCAAATGCCGGCAGTAATTTTCAAGCCTCATAATTTGAGATACACTTTGTCATAGTGAAGAAACACTTTGTCATAATGTTTTGGAAACCTCTTGAAATAAGCTACAAGAACATACAATAAAAAGTGGGGATTCCTGTTTGAGAAATTAAAAATAATTTTTATATAATCTTCAAATGATTGTCTAAAATCAAACCAATGGCACCATCTTATGTCCTCCTCGAAGCCATTCAACTTTTGTTTGAAACATTCTTTCGTATCTTCCATATTTTTCGAAATTTGGACCTGGGGAAATTAAAATAAAACACCTTGCATATCACCGTATATTGTATAATATTACAAAAATGTATATATTTATCTGAAAGATATTAACTCTTTGTCTTTTTTTAATAAATATAATTTTGTGAAATTTGGGGTTTTCTGAGATCACTATTCGAATTTTCAGGAGTTTCCAGTAACGACCATAAATACAAGTCAATGAGTAAGCCTCCGCCCTATGCTGAAAGTGTTGCGCCCTTATAGAAATATCATACTAGAATCATTGATAATTACTTATTATTCAGTATTTTTAATACTGAAAATAAGTAATTATCAATGATTCTTAGTATGATATTTCTATAAGGGCTGTGTATAAGGGAAATATAAATTGACCAATTTTATCGGACAATGTACAGAATGCCTGACTCAAGGTATATCAATACATGTGTATAGGTAGGTTAAATTAAACTTAACAAAAAATCTTCTGCCATTTTCCAAACACCCACGTGGAATTTCAAGATAACTTTTTCTTTTAATAATTTTTATTGCGATCTATCTAAGAAAAAGACTATTAACAATAAGTTGGACATATTTAAATTAGTCATGGACGAACAGGATTCATTAACTCAGTCGTATTTCTGAAAAGTTTATGTTACATTATATAGAGCTATAATACTGCCTTAATCCTTTCAGGCACACATTTTTCTATTTATAAGTTTTTCATGAAAATTAGTATGCAGGGGTTTCTTCGCTGATTACGAATTCCTTGGTAGGTTTTTAGAATTCTTTTTCAATATGGCAGATCCAATATAGCGGCTCACAATTTTTGGGGCTTCTTATGAATATTAGTATACGAGAGTTCTTCGGATCTTTGGTTACGAGTCCGTTATTAGATTTTTATAGTTCACTTTCAAAATGGCGGATTCGATATAGCGGCTGGGATTTTTTAGGAATTTTGGAGTTTTCTGTTGATTTTTTACAAAAATTGTATACAGAGGTTTTGTAGGTCGGTGATAACGTATACATCATCAGATTTTTTACATTCACATTTAATATGATAGATTCAACATAACGGATGTGAATATTAAAAATCTGATGACATATATATTATCAACAACCTACAAAACCCTTGTATACCATTTTTGTAAAAAATCGACAGAAAACCTTAGAATTCCTCAAAACTCCGAACCGCCATATTGGATCCGTCATTTTGAAGGTGAACTGTAAAAATCTAATGACGAATTGGTAATCAAAGACCCAAAAAACACCTGTATATTTCCATGAAAAACCGATGGATAGAAAAATGTGTGCCTAAAAAGGTTAACTTTGTTTAATTATATTAGGTGGTAAACTTAGTTCCTGCGGCTCACAGTTAGATGACGTTAGTTGTAGGTGTAATTTATTTTGACATCTGAAACTGGCTGCATTTTAGAGGTTAGACATTTGTCAATAAAATTCAGTGCGAAGAGATTCATTTAAGCGAGCAGTGCTATTTTTTCTTTTGATTAAATATGGAACGTAATAAGTTGTTTTTTCGACATGTGCTGC